TAAAATGTACCAGAATGTCATTACCTCTCAGAAAACCATGACTGAATTTAACCAAGCACAGACATACTGTAGTAACCTCTTAATTGGGCAGAATCAGCTTTATTCCCATAGAATCTACACCAGCATTAGAATCTGAGAATGTTATGGGTCTCGCAGTCAGCCCTTTGGTTTTACATTTGGGGAAACAAAAGACCAGTGAGTGGCAGGACGGGGACTCAAGGCAAGATTTCGTTCTAGCTGGCTTATCGTTCTTTCCGCTTTGTCACACTGAAACTGAAGACACAGGAGCGTCTTATGGCAGCTGGGACCCTAAGAATTATATGAGAATGGACTCTTGGCTTCTAGCCAGGCCAGCAGACAAGAGGCGGCTTTTCTGCAGTGACCCTCGTTTTCAAGGGCTTGCTGATTCAGTTTAGTTTTGGGGCATCGTTAGCATAACCCACCGTGAATATTACATTTTCTTGAGCACCTCTGGCCAGGCCTTGTTTCTAGACATGCTCTGCTCCAGCAGCCGCTTCTGGAAACCATGGAGCCCACCTCTGTGCCCTCACTTGCCGCCCAACAGATTACTAGCTGTAGACTCCTGACTCTTGCTTGGTCCTGCTCTGCTAAGGGCTTAATTTCAGTTCCGGTCAGACTAGTCCCGTCCCAGTTTGCATGTTAGTGTTACCAACCCTTTCTCCCACGATTATTCTCTCAGTAGATTGCATGTGCTGACCCTCCCGCTTTTTGTAAACTCACTCATTAACTGTCAGCTCTTACTAGGAGTTTTTAGTATAGCAGAATGATTGGAGGACAAAACGACCCACCAGCTTTGGAAACAAAAGTATGTGTATAGTCATTTCTGCTAGAAATCTTTCATCGTGTCATTGCCAGCGTAAGGCAGATCGCAGATGAAACACTTTGTCCATATTCTCATCGTGAAATTGGATGAACATGAAAGCCAGATAACAAACTGGTGTACTTTGTTATTACTGGTATTATTGGGTGGGGGGGGTGATTCTGCTGTAGGCAGAAGGCTACAAAACTGCTCTCCGCGGGGCAGGAACCGTTTACGCGGCGCGGGGGCTGTTACATCAGCCGTGCTTTGACCTTCAGGCCCACTGTCGCAGGCTGCTGCTGGCTTTGGTCTGTTTGAAATGTAAGCAACAGACACGGTGTATTTACTCCTATTTCTCCAGCTTTTCTCATCTTCGCCAGGGCATTTTTCTTCCATAAAACATGAGTCAAAACACACAGAACTGTTTTCCTCATTACTCAGAGGATTCCTCATGGGTGCGAGGAGGATGCCGAGTCTGGGCATCCCTGGGTCCTCAGTGGGGCGAGGACGTGCCCTGGATCCCCCTACCCCCGCCCCAGCCTGTGTCTGTGCACTAGCCGCCGGGGGTGGTGCCTGGCCTGGGAGGGCACCGGATGAGTAATTGTCAAGAATGGAGTATGACTCCTATTCAGCTTTATCTCCTTATAGCTTACTCTTGTTACTTGACCATTGAAAGGTCATATCTTTAAAAAGTGGCAGTTTTCTGGGCAAATGAGTCTGCCCCAGAGTAGAGATTAACTGTTCGGTAACTCAGTACCGAAAATATTTACCCTTTTTCAGATGGTAGAAGTAAAACGTCAGAAGATACATGAAACCATTTAAGTGCATTTCATTATGGTTGACCCTCGAACAACGTGGGGGCTTAGGGACATCGACTCTCCACGTGGTCAGAAACCCACACACAACTTTGGGCTCCCCCTAAACTTAACTACCGATAGCCTGCTGTTGACCGGAAGCCTGACGGATAACGTAAAGACTTGATTTTGATTAACACGTGTTCTGTATGTCGTATGTGTCCTTGTGACAAAGTAAGCTGGAGAAAGGGAAATGTTAAGAAAATCACAAGGAAGAGGAAATACACCGCCCCACCCTACTGTAAAAAATCCCCGCAGAGGTGGACCCGCACAGTTCAGACCACATTGTTCAAGGGTCAGCTGTATACTTTTTTCTAATCAAGATGTAGGTGTTGTCACATTTAACTTTTTGTAAATAGCCTTAACTTGTACAGTAGAGAAATAGAGTTTAAGACCCGTTTTAGTTAAAGAAGGAGGAAAAGTCATATTCTTTTAGACCACAAAGAAATCCTGGTCTGCCCCGTGCTGATATTTTCCCCCAACCCAGAGAATGGGTGCCGTTGTCCTGAATTCAGAGTATCCCAGAGAAGCTAATGGGATATTCTCCTTAGTGCTGTGAAAATGCACCACCGTCTCCGGAATCTGGGGGTATAATAGCGTTCTCTAGAAGCAGGGAGAATGAAACTTAAACAGAAATTACAGGGAGTCCAGTTAGGTACCAGTCATGTGAGTTTAAGACTATGGATAACCACATAGGCATCAAGGAGGAGAATGTCTACAACCAAACTACCATGCTTTTTCTCAAAGTGGAATGGAAATGGAGGCAAGGAGTGGAAACAAGAATCCAGAGACAAACGCGAGAGTAAACGTAGCGGATATGCAAGAATGTACATGCATCTGTGTGTGTAAACTGAAGATAAGGTCCTTATCCGGTGTGCTTCCCCAGTGACTGAATTTGCCCATTTCAGTAATTGCAAAATACGGAAGCGTTTTGATTTTGGGCAGTAGTGCGTCCCGACTCCCACTTTCTCCTTGAACTTCTGTGTCTCAAGTGGGTGAGCAGCCTCAGCCGGGGAAAATGGGTGAGGGCAAGTGCCTGGAGCTAGACAGGGCTGGGGTGGGGGGTGCACTGGCCGCCAGCAGCCCTCACAGAGCCCAATGGGCCCCACCGCCCTGTCACATGCTGTGTCACAAAGGGAATGCTCCCCCTCCCCCAGAAGCGGGTACGAGCAAGGTCGGTATTGAACTGTTGGTGTCTGTTGTTGGTTACCTGTTACCCTAATACATTTTTTCAGTCTTTGCAGTTCAAGATTTCTGTTGTAAAGAACACTCAGTAGTTCCTAAAATCTCCTCTCAACTTTGAATCATTTCAATACTTCTCTTAGGTAACCTGCTAGCAACAAAACTTTTTCACTCACCGATATTTCCGTGACTGTTTATATAGTTGTGTATGTATTATAAATACGTAAATGTCCAAGAGGGAAGAGCATATAATTCATTGTGAATTTTATATGTATTGTGGAGGATATGTGTTGATCTATCTTGACACGAGATCATGTGAAAGTTATTTTGAGCATTTATGGAACACAGACTTTGTTTCCTTTTTAGATGTTCTTTTATTTGTGTTGCTGTTTCCCCCTCTTATAAAAATAGCACGACCACACTGCTTTTAGATCAAAGAGAAGCTGTGGAGAGGGGGTCCCCTCGGGTCCCAACATAACTGTCAGGCGGTTCTAATAGATGAAATCATAAGCTCTCAGGTCCAAAAATGTACACAGCTTCCCAGTGATCTCATTTACCTATTTCATAGATCATGATGAGACTTAAACGGATGTTGTATTTAAATGTATGTACTTAGCTCACCACCCGGCCTCTAGCGGAATGGGGTCCATATCTAAGGAGCCCGTGGAAAAGCAGATGGTGTAATTCACTGCCTGGGATTAATGACCATGTGGCGAAAGCAAATAGAAGACTTGAGTTCAAAGAAACCTGTGATAATGTAGACGGCACCAGGATCTTCTAATGCTTGAAGCCGTGAATTGGTTTCCCTTGTTGTGGCTTGTTTTCACCTTTGCTCTCTGTGTTATTAGAGAAGGAACACTATTTTCCAATGACGCTAACCTCCTCAAAGCTGCCTGTAATGTTCTTATTTTGTGATTATAATAATAAACATGTTGTGGGATAAAGTTTGTATTTTAGTCTTTTCAGGAGGAGACCCAGACAGAATGTTTAAGTGAGTTTTCTGGTTTTCCGTAGTTTCAATCGCTCAGAAGAAGTTTAATCCTTAATGTTGGGGGGCTAGATTCAAAGGCTAAGAGAAAAAGTCTTCTTAAAATTTTATACCTCTGTCGTCAGTTTAAAAGATTGTTTTGAGCCTTAGCTAGAGTCTGTATTGTAAGGCCTTCTTTAACGGACTTCAGTACCAATTGGACATTTCGGAAGGTCGCAGGTACTTGCTGCATGAATGGCTAACTAGAATTTGGACACATTTTATCTCCTGCTGTGGTAGGTTTATTTTTGGAGTGGACGCAATAAGTCCTCCCTTTATATTTACCTCAAATTTTCTGTTTTGGTGTTTTAAAAATATGCGACATTTACCGCTTACATGTAACGGGATGAAAAATAGCGTTTTCAGTTTTTCCCGGTTAGTTAATGTGGGGCCTTTTCCAAAGAGCTTTTTTGTCTTGATATTGTATGTGATTAGATTTTAAGCTGTGTAAAAGTTTCAGTTTAATATCTAAATGTATGTCTCTGAATTTGAGTTCATTGATTTCAATTATAAATCCTATAATGTCCAGCCCATCCATTGAAAGACCAATTCAAGTGCAAAAAGAACAACTAACTGCTGTGGTCATTCTTTTGCATTTCTGTATTTTAGATTTCAGATGACAGAAGTGAGGGGGGTGGGAAGAAAGGAAGGGAAAAAAAGTGGGATTAGTCTCGAATTTATTATTCTGGAGAAAGTTTTTATGAGTTGTGGGAACTGGCTACTGTGGAGATAGATGCCTATAAACTTGGAAGTACACATTAACGTTGATTTGCCTCGGTCATCTGCAAGAATATCTCCTCTAAATACCCCTTCTCCGCACTAGATAAACAAAATGCAAAAGTAACAAAATTGGACGTCTACCCGAAGCTGACGTTCTCTTAACCTCATGCTTTGGGATGACCCTGACCGCACAGCACCTATCATTTCAATTGCACGGGGTGAGGGATTTTACTTTAAAGGTTTAACTTCTAAGTTTGCGGTTTCCTTGGACTTGGAATCCGTGATAGCAGTATTTGCAATGAGCCATGCGCAGTTGTTTTGGGGTGTAACCAAGCTTCTTTGCGTCTTAGAAAGTACTTCGTAGGACCAACCCTGTCTCCCCCTTTGGTTTGTCTAGAAGACTTGCACTATGTGCCAGATGCTGCTTCCTAACCAGTGCAGTTACGCGTCACACCAGAGAATCCATCAGCACAAATCTCCCTACATCTGCCCCGAGTGCGGGGCCGTCTGCAGGTCGGTGCACTTCCAGAGCCACGTCACCAAGAACTGTCTGCACTACACGCGGAGAGTTGGTTTTCGGTCAGTATACTGTTTGCTTCCGTGCCGGTAAAGCTCTGTTCACCTGTCCCCGCGCAGCGGCGCGCGTGGTCTGTGCACGCGGTTTTCGGGGTCACACAGTGATACCTCAATTAACAGATCCTCCAGGAGCCTAGTTTGTTTGTGGTCGAGGTGATCCTTTTGAGTCCTCGTGGTGTCGGCCCCCCGGTCCCCACAAAGCTGAGGGTAAAAGGAGCCCCTCCTTCTAGCCAACACTAGTGCATGTGGCCAGGTTCGGCCTTGCTCAACTGTTCGAGCTTTTTCTTCCTGGACCTTTTCCAGCATCCCTCTGTTGTCATGTTCTCTGCATTTTAACCCCTGTAAGAGCACCATGCATTTCTCTCTCTCTCTTACGCATCTCCTCCGATCAAAACAGAAAGGGTGCATGGTCCCTTACTTGTATTTCATCATCTCCAAGGTTTGGGTGTTTGTCCTTTCCTCACAGCGCTCTTTGTGGAAGAACCTTCCACACCAGACCCCAGATAACCTTCCTCTATCCCCCTTTTCCCCAAGTCTGGGTCGTTCCCCTCCTCTGTGTACCTCTTAGCAATGACCCTTTGCACTGCTCCCCCGAGAATCTCAGACTCGTCTTTTACAACATCTGGCAAATCTGTTCATTTAGCTGGTATTGAGTGACAATGAACTTGAACTCTATCTTCCACTCTGTGACCTTCTGAAATGCATTCCTGTGCCTTTTATATTTTGACCCAGAGAAGGTCAGCCCAGATAACAGGTCACCAATACACCATGTCTTTGTTAATAGAGGTATTACTGTATTGTGTGTTTAACTGTTTGGTTGCCTGTCACTTGAATGTTAGACTGTTAATACACAGGATATCTTTTAGTTATAATACAGTTATGATATTTTACAAAAATAAAGTCTAGTCAGTATAACTTGATGGGTTTTTTTTTTTCAGTGATTTTTAGGGCATAGCATCATCGGTTCCTGGGTGGCTCGGTCCCATTTTTCTGACAGTAACAGAGACTTGGTGCATGTTTTTACCTCATGCCTCCAAACATGAGAAGCACACATGCTTGATGCATTGGGATCTACCTTAGTAGGAAGCGTTTGGTTTGCAAATTAAGGAACTAGAGTTCTTTTTGGTGCCAGTTTTGCCACTAACTTTATGGTAATTCATGTATCCTTCCCATGCGACGGTGCCTCTGTCTGTAAAGTCAGTGTGCCGCCTACGGTCCATCTCCACCGAGGTGTGACCGAGGAAAGCAAGATACTCCCAATGCTCTCAGAGCTTAGGGAGCAAGTCACACATTGAAGGTGCCCTTGATTCCACAAAACCATACACAGTGATGCTTTGGGGCTCACCCCATGTTTTCAAACGATTACTGCCAGGTTCTTTGTTTAATAATGGAAAGCAGTTCTGCCACATTGTCTCCGTGCTGTTCTCTCTCACAAAGATGCCAAACTTTCCTCCAGTGTTTATTTTTTGCGTATAAGGAAAGTAAACTTAGGCTGGAATGAATAGAGGAAGCAGGACTTCTGCACTTCTTGCTATTCCTGGTGCCTCTCCTAAATGAAGACCAGCTGTGCAGTCAGGCTCAAAGGAATCAGCTCATTGCAAGAGCCCGTCCCTTGCTTTTCTTCCCACCCCCTACCCCCATTCACAGAGTTACTTAAATTTGGCACTTGGAATTTTTAAGGCATTTGTGTTTAAGACAGGTTTTTTCCTCGCACTCGAGGCTCAGAAGAGCTGTAAAGATATGACCATGTGTGCACTCTGCTTAGTTCACGTTTACCTCTTCAGGTGTGAGGAAAAAATTGACCCTGATTCTTTTTTTTTTTTTTTTCCCCCTGCTATTTCAAATAAGTTGATGGGGACTTAACCCCCTTGGCCTTCTTCTGGTTCCCTCCTCCATTTTGGCTCCATACTTCATCATTTCCCATTTGATTTTTCTTTGGCCAGAGAAGTGGAGCAGGGCTCCCCTCCCTCCCTCGCCTCTGTGATTCAGCATGCCTTATGAGGCACAGTGCATCTCCCAGGTACCGAGTGGGTCACTCCCAGCTCCTGGTTGATTTGGTAAAAGTCCAAGGTTTTTGTGAATTTTCCTACTTCTTGATTCATTGGATCTGCATTTAGAAAGGGGATTTGTAGGACTGTATACTATAAACATTAAAAACATGTTTTTAGGGGGGCACTTGAATGGCTCAGTCAGTTAAGCATCCGACTGCAGCTCAGGTCATGATCTCACGGTTTGTGAGTTCGAGCCCCGTGTCGGGCTTCGTGCTGACAGCTCAGAGCCTGGAGCCTGCTTCCGATTCTGTCTCCTCTCTCTGTCCTTCCCCCGCTGATGCTCTGTCTGTCTCTCTCAAAAATAAATAAACATCAAATAATTTTTTTTACATAAAGAGAAACTTGGTTGGTACCTAGAACACAAAGGACGTCGGGTATATGAAACATTTATTTATAGGCTGGATTTTTAGTAGCGTTAAGATACCATATGAACCCTACAAATTCTGTCTTCTGTTTGTCTGTCTCATTTCCATTCCCAATTGGCCTCTGTTGCTCCTGAACCTTTCCTTCCACCTATCAGTGGGTATTTTACAACTCTCTTTCTTCTTACTTTGTTTTTTAAATTCTCTACTTTCCTCACATCAAGGAGGGTTTTTCCTTGGACCCCATGACACTTTTTGGACCCCGCCTTAGCTACTTCTCCATTAGCCGCTGCGTAGATTCATTAAATTCCTGCTTATTTTCTTCAACATTAAACCTTCCAGTTCAGGCGACTTGAGAGAACTCCAGGGATTCGTTTCTTTTCCCCCTTCCTGGGTCTTGACTCTTGAAACACCACCTGTGTCCCCTTGATGGGAAGGTTTTCTGTTTATGATGCTGGTGCAGAGGATCCCCCTGTTTCATGAATAACCCGCTTTTGTTTTGTGTGATCCTCCTCTTCCCTAGGAATCGTTAGGCTTCCAGGGCTGGGAAGAACTAAAAGGTGCTTGAGTTCAACTCTTCTCCTTTTACAAGTGAGGCATTCGCCCAGAGAAGATCAGTAACCTGCTCAAGACAATCCCAAGTTCAGGCTAACCCAAAGTAATTCCAGTATGTGCTTGGGTGGCTTAATTGTCAAAAATAATGGTTCAAGGAGATAAGATAGAGGAGCTTTCTTAGTTATTCTCCCATTCTGTTTTAGTGCCTTTATTGTATAGGTTTTCAAACATTACGCCTTAAGTCATTTAAAATGCTAATGCAGTAATTATGATTTTGGTGAAATGCTTGCAAAGCTTAACATTCATAAAAGCCAAGTACTTCCGAGAATGCCGCTCTTGAGTGACTGGAGGCATCCCCATGAATCCGGAAGGGAGGCTCCTAGAATGGAAGTACCTTAGACTAACGCGGAAGTGATCAGGCCCTGCCCACAGCCCTCCTGCCTTGTGTCAGCTCCCACCTTCACTTCCAGGAGCGTGTCCACTCAGGTGCATTTCAGGTTCATCTCCGCAGACTCTTGAGCATCTGCAGAGACCACCCTCAGGTAGTTTTCGGATGTGGTGTGGCCAGAGGATGACGAGGTCATCAAATGGATGTGTTGTAAGTGTTGCTGAGAGCCCGGCACGAGAAAGACGAGGTTGGTGAGAAACGTGTCTGAGTGTCGAGCTGGTTTCTGTGGGACGAGACATGATTAGTTCACGAGCCAATCCAATTATTTATATGCTCAAGAAGTAAAGAAGTCGACCGGAAAGGAGTTTACTCAGTGATGTTGATTTTTCGGAAGTTTATAATTCATGTTATTTCATTAAATAAGTGTAAGTGTACTTGAACGTATTTTCCAGGAGATAAACAACATAGGTGGTTAACTTTCTCTGCCCCACGGGCCCCATCACCCCCAGACACATTGACCACATCAGTGTGCACCAGGAGACCGTGGCCAGGCTTTGGAGCCAGGACTGATTTATTCTCTCTGCCTTCTGCTGATGGCATGTAGGTCGAGGCAGCGAAGATTTCTTCCATTGGAAATGCCATTGGTTAGGAGCCTCAGGGCCTGGTGTGAGCATCTAGAATGTGGGAGTGTTCCCCAGAGTCACAGGTCATGAGGTCTTGCCATGTCCGTTGGCCCTGATACAGCCCCCGTGATCCGTTGGTCTCTTCATAGTCTGGTGTTTGGGTATTTAATCCCGAAAGTTTTAAAGATGCCCAAGCGTCAGACCGTTTGAGTTTTATTTTTCTTCTTCACGATCTTCTTTCTTAAATATATAAAAACTAATTTGATCTGTTATAAATAGAAAAAAAAAAAACCCAACCAAAACATACTTCCGGAAGTAGCCATTAGAAACCTTGAAGAGGCCATTAAGCCGTGCTCGTTTTACCTGACTGTTACCGTGCAGGTGCGCGTGTGTGAGGGCCCCGTGCTGATGACCGCGTGTTTGTTTTCCTGGCAGGTGTATCCATTGCAATGTCGTGTACTCTGACGTGGCCGCTCTGAAGTCTCACATCCAGGGCTCTCACTGTGAAGTCTTCTACAAGTGTCCTATTTGTCCCATGGCGTTTAAGTCTGCCCCAAGCACACATTCCCATGCCTACACACAGCATCCTGGCGTCAAGATAGGAGAGCCAAAGTAAGTCCTGCTGCCTTCTGACTTTTATGCCACTGCTTTACCTAGTGACTTAGTGGAAGGAGTAGTTCTGTGGAAGAAAACTCCAGAGATGAAGATGTAGGCCACCGCACAGATTCCGGGGCTCCGCGAGGTACAGCTCATAGCTCATCGCCACCTAACCCGTTCAGCTCTTCCCAGGTGAAGCCTCCGTCCCGAAAAACAGTGTCACTTACTATTTATGCTCTTGTCCTCCACTTTTTGCGAAGCAGGTGAATATTTATCAATTTTGGTTCTTTTTCTTATGACGAGTTTAGCAGTTAACTTCTCCGGGGAACCATCAGCCACGGCCCTCTTTCCTCAGGGACGTGCTTTTCGTCCTAACATTCATAATACGAAGTCAGTTTAAAACGCTGGTTGCTGAATTTAACCTCATAGCCAGTCTTAGTCCTTGGGTAGTACAGATTTCGTTTTTGCCTTTTTATCTTGCTCTTCATTTTGTAGTTTTTGCTCCGTTGAGTCTTTAAGGACGAAGCGTCTGCTCCGGCAGACGGGGGCTGCCTGCCTGCGTCACGGGCAGCTCATCGAACAGGAGGGACCGTGGGCCTTGGGCACAGAGTCCTGCCTCCTCCCTCCCTCCCCCCCCCCCCCTCCCCACTCCACCAGCTGTGAGATCTGGGACCATCACAGGCTCTGTTTTTCACTTCCATTTTCTCCCCTGCAAAGTGAGGGTAGTGCTTCCGTCCCAGAGTTCGTGTGGGGCGGAGAGGAGGTGACATTTAAAATGCGTGGCACATGATTCCTCTGTCAGGAGCACAGAGGGGGCGCGGCAGCTTTGATCCTTCCCTCACTTCCTCTTCGTTGTATACGTGGCAGTGGATTAGCTGCTCGCGGTCAAGCTCTTTTGATTCCTGTGTTATTTACAGCAGCGTGGAATCCGATCGTTATGTGAGGCTACGTTTGCTGCCCAAATCTGTTGGTGGGTCTCACCCCCTATCTGCAGTCGAGGAAACCTTAGAGGCAGGACATGGATATTTCATGTTATATATACGTCTGGCTTGTTTCCTTCGCTTTTTGGGGACATAGGAATGACTGAACACTATAGGAGTGACCCTGTTTCCTAAAAAAATGAAACATGATAAAATAGGATTCTGTTCTGGTAGGACCTTGACTCTGATCTCGGTGGATCCTCAGACCGCAGATTAGGTGATCCATATAGGACTTGGCGTCTTGACCCTGAAGACATACTTCAGTGAATTCTCATTTCACAGTCTTCAGTGTTCAGGGCAGTGAGGCTTCCGGACATTAAAGCAGTATCTTGCCCCCAGTTTATAGAGTTTTTGATTTGGCTCTTTATTCAAATAAATCAGACTTTACTGAAATCTGGAATAGCAGTTATTACCTGAGAATACAGGGCAGCGAATTATTAACATAAGCTAAAACGACATTTTCCAAAATTGAGTGAAATAAAAAACTATTCCAGTATTTTCCTAAAATTATTTTCACTACAGTGGTTCCTTAATAAGTACCAAGCCTAAAGATAGGCATTGACTACTATGTTCTAACTGTGAAGCTAAAAAAAAAAAAAAAAAAAAATTATAGGGGCGCCTGGGTGGCTCAGGCGGTTGAGCGTCTGACTTCAGCTCAGGTCATGATCTCACGGTTCGTGGGTTCTAGTCCCGCATCGGGCTCTGTGCTGACAGCTCAGAGCCTGGAGCCTGTCTTCAGATTCTGTGTCTCCCCCTCTCTCTCTGATCCTCCCTGCTCGTGCTGTTTCTCTCTCTCAAAAATAAATAAAACATTTAAAAAAATTATAGGTGAGATACAACAAAACTGCCAAAGCAGTGAACTTTCACTTAACCACATTGGTTCAAGGTGACGTCCGTGCTCGGCCAAGCACCTCCTCCCCTGCGACTTGGCTGCGGCACCAGGTGCTGCTTCTTGGGCTCTTTTTATCCCCGTTTGTTGTGACTGGACTACAGCGTGCCCTGAGATCCCTCTTCCCTGCCCCCTCTCCCAGTTCAGGCTCTTGGAAACCCTTCCTTCCCACGGTATGCTGGAATGCTGTCTGGCCTGCACTTGATCTGAAGCTTCCTTTTGACATTAACCCCATCTCTGCCCTGCGTCCCTGTGCAGCACCCGCCTTCTGCCAAATCAGTAGCCTTCACAACATTGGAAACTCAGGCATGGGAAACCCCTTAGCGGTATTTGGTTAACAGGCAGTTATGCAAATGACTCATCATTATGCAAATGATGTGCATTCATTTAAAAGATCAGTATAAAATGCTTCGCCCCCCATTTCCTTTAGAGAAGATGTGGAGGTCTGAGAATGCACCCACAAAGTCCTTCAGTCCTAGCACCTCACATTGAAAAGGACGATGCATGATTTTTTTTATTTTTTAAAAATTTTTATGTGACATTTATGTAGTATTTCTCAGGTGCCAGGTATTTAACGGTTCCTGTGTTTGTTTCTTGCTTTTCAGTGTGTGGTCAGGCTTTACCCTGCTGTTACCTTAAAACCGTGAGCACCCTTTAATCTTTTCTGGGTGATTCTGGACCATTTTGAATGTCCGTTTCTGGACTTCATGGTGATCAAGTTTTGTGCCTATTTTCGTACTTTCCTTGACGTCCGATGAACAGCAGGTTTTTTGCTATTTTGTGCCTTCCGTTTATTTGCCACCCTCAGTGTCCATGTGAAGTCGAGAATTACATAAGAGACCGAGAGTTTGTGGACAGGTCCCTTCAAGATACAGTGCGTGCACAGGTGTGATAGCCACATAGCGGAGCGCTGTGGGGACCGACGGAGCTGAATCGGAACCGTGGCCCCCAGGATTTGTGCAGCATCGGGATCCTCCAGTCTCTCCGAGCCCATGTGAAGTGGTTCGCCTGTGGAGGGTGTGGACGTTGTTGGGTGTTGCTCAGGACAGGGCTTGGCGCTTGGTCCGATTCAGTCAGTGACAGTAAAGCAAGAGGTTTGTGGTGGTGACTTCAGAGCTTACGATCTTTCATTCCATTTGTTGTTACATTTGTTTCAAGGGTAGCAGGCTGTGGGTTGGACCTGAACGTGGGTATTTGGTTTTAGCTTCCTGGTTCTTCTTTTTAACCCCTTCCCCATTCTCCGCACTTTTCTTCAGTTCTAGCCTGCACCCCCACCCCCACCCCCCACCCCCGCCCTGAACCTGGTTACCCTCTCGGACCATTTCCTCAGCCCTGCAGCGAGGGTAGGATTCAGTCACACCTAGAGGCTTGACATTCAGGGCCCGTGACGACACTACAGGGCGTCCCGGGAAAGCCAGGCGCACTGTTCCCGTCACTTCCCTCACCGCGCGGCCCCCACGCCTGTGCCCGGGCGCCTCCCCTCCCCTGCCTGGCGCTGCCCCCCGTGGTTTTCTTCCACGGTCAGTTGGAGAGTTTGCTCCGTCTTCATGGTCTGACTCTGTGTCTGTGAGGCTTTTATTTGGGCTTTGTTTTTTTTTTTTTTTTACATACGAGCACCATTTTAACATTTAAAACAAAAATAGATTCTATCCTATGGGAAAGTTGAGAGGACTCTACAGAGACTCTGACGTCCCCTCGCTCCCAGATTCCCTAATTGTCAGCATTCGCGACATTTAATTTTACTCCACTGTTTCGTTCTCCCTGAGTCTCTTCTTCTCGTGTTCAGGAATAATGGGCAGCGTGACATAGATATCAGTGTTCTGCCTCTCCTCCCACAAAGGACAGCCACGTACGCCCCCACCATCCAGCCCTCCCAGTCAGAGATCGGTGTTGGGTACATTACTGCCCAGTGCTGGGACCCCTTACACTTTCTCTAATAGATGAGAAAATGTCCTTTTGTGCGTGTTTCGGGTTCAAAATCCTACCCAGAAGCGTGTTCTGCGTTTAACTGTCCTGTCTCGTCCGCGTTCTTCCATCTGGACAGCTGCTCACTCTTTCCCTGCCTCTCCCGTCTTTGGTCATCCTCAAGGGGACGCCGGCCTTTTGCTCTTGGGGTGACCCCCGTCCGCCACTGCTTTCTTGTAGCTGGACTCGGGACACGCACTCCTGGCTGGCAGCCCCATGTGTGTCGCACCAGAGGCACACACTGCCTGTCTCTGTTTCCAGTGGCCGTCCTGACTCCTGTCGTCCAGCCAAGTGCGTGTCCGCCAGATCTCCCTGTAAAGCCCTCACCTCCCTTCTAGTAGCTAGCAGTCGTGGGGCCGTGTCCCCAGATCCTACCTGCAAACTGTTCCTCAGAAAAATGCCTAAGTAAATAGTTTATCTCCTCTTTTATACTTTCCTTTGCTGTTCAGTAGAAAGCAAAAAAAAAAAAGTCAAAGCAAACAGAACCCTTCCCCAAAGGAATGCGGCATGAATAAAAGGGGCCATGCTGTTTTTCATGAAATAGATATTTCTGAAAATCTGGGAATAGAATCCTGAGAAAACCTCTTAGCCTAGCCAGTAAATTTTCATTCTCTTCCTGAAGCTATTCTTTTCTTCTTACTGCTCTATGCTAATCACAGAAAAATTGAGAAAGACAGACAAGTAAAACAGTTGAGAATACCTGTAATACCATCCCACAGAGATGATGACGGCTATATAAACCTTCTCTTTCTTTTCTATGCCCTTAAAAAATGTGATCATATCGTACATACGGTCTTGTTACCTGCTGTTTTCATTTTCACAAAAATCTTCCCATTCATCGGCATACATCTATAGCATACTTTTTAAAAAAATCATGTAGTTGTTCTGACTTAAGTACTTACATTACTGGATGTTTGGGCTATTTTCAATTCTAAGTGATTTTAAATAGTGAGGAAATGAACATCCTTGTCACACTTGTTAAGTTCATGATGACAATGTCATTTGTGTGCCTCCTTTGAGTGGTGAAGTCATGAAGTTCTAGAAAGAAAAAAAAAACAACAACCAAACAAAAACACCTCTCCTCTCCCCACTCAACTGTGCTTGTGATCCGTGCTAAATTACTAATAGGTCAAGACCTTGTAAAAACCCATGCCACTCAATCCAATTAAATTATAACTTTTATGTGGAAAAAGGAGGACAAATCTGTAAATTTTTGACAGAATCACAAAGCGAGAAGTGCTTTCTTGAGAAGACCCTGAGAATAAAGACATGTGGTTTTAAGAGGCGTGCCTTTCCTGGCTTTGCTGTAGAAATAGCAAACAGAAGCTCAATGTGGCTTTTTTCCCCTCTGACTTGTCCCTTCAGTCAGGGTTTCTCTGCCATTTTCCTAAGCTCCAAGGATTCTTTGAACTTCTCGAAATTCATCCAAGGCAGTACAGGTGTCCCTAAGGCCTCCCCTGAGGACCAGGAGGACCTGGAACAGTCATTGAAGAAAGGTGACCCATCCTGAACACGTGGGTTTATGAGCCGCTAGCAAAGCAAAGCCCCTGGAGGTGGAGGTTGGGAGCAGGGGAGTCTAGTCCTTTCCCTCCCGCCTGAGCTTTGGTGGAAGGTGTTGATGGTTAGAGGGGATTGTGTTCAGAAGGTTCGGGTATAATGAATCAGTGTAAGGAGGTTGATTGGCAGTAATACTAGGTACGGAAGTGGTTTGTAGTAGACAGTATTTTAAACCATTTTAAGCAAAACAGACATTCAAGTATTGGAGCAACAGTGATGTGGATTTTCTTTTCTGTTTCTTTTCTTTCTTTTTTTTGGTGTATAATTGTTTACTGGCATAGGGCTTTCCTTACTAAGAACACGTAGAGAAATACTGCAGTTGGATGGTAAAAGGGCTACTAACTCGAAAAGAAAACTTTGGGGCAAGTCATAGCTCACGGAAGCAGCACACCTGACAGCCCTGTTTACTAGCTCATTAACAAAGTCTTTATCAAGTTAGGGCGCCACCATCCGGCTGTGTTCCTTGTGTTATCTTAAAGAACACTTGAGAAGAAAAATTCAAGGGTTCTTTTGCTCTGTGTGAAAGTAACAAACAAGCAAAGATCTCGTAAAAACACGTGTTAAATGTAGATCTGTAAGTAATAAAATGGTCATGAATTTCGCCTTCGATGCAGAGGCGGTTGAACGCACCTTTACTCAAAATGTGAAGATCGACCTGCCCTTGAGCGATGCCAAGTTGCCCTCAAAAGTTTGTTTCAAAGATAAACTGTTTTTATTTTTATCGTGTTTACGTGTTCTCACTGCCTCTGCCCCCTTGCAATGTAAACTAACAGTTCCCTCGGCTTCGGAGATGAGGGCTGACTGACATGTCCACACACTTCTTCTGTTTTAGAATAATTTATAAGTGTTCCATGTGCGACACTGTGTTTACCCTGCAAACCCTGCTGTATCGCCACTTTGACCAACACATCGAAAACCAGAAGGTGTCTGTTTTCAAGTGTCCCGACTGTTCCCTTTTATATGCACAGAAGCAACTGATGATGGACCACATCAAGGTGTGTGCGCGTCTCTCGTGTCCTTTAAGTGAATTGCAGACCCACGTGCGTTGAACCGAAGTCGAGGCTGAGCTGTAGGTGACAAGCCAGCCGCATGCTGTTCAGGGAAGGGATGGGTGCTGGCGGTCGGTCCTGAGCAGTGTACACACTGCTGGCGTCAGGCGTTCACTTGACCAACGCCTTTGACTCCCGAGTTCTGATCTGCATCACCAAGAAAGACCATCGCAGAGTCACGGGTGCATGCCCTGATTCTAAAAGAAAAATAAAGTTATTAGTCTTCTTTTTTTTGGTCCTACATGCGAAAAGGATGAAGTTTACTTTTCTATGAGAAGTCCATTTTGTACAGGATTTAGAAAGAGACAAGGACTCTCACGAATTGTCTTAATTCGTTATAAATGTCGGTGTGTTTAGGATGAGGGTCTTCTCTTGAGGTTATTTAAGCAGTCCAATTTGCATTATAATTGATGCCCCTCGATCTTTTAGTCTTTTTTTTCTATCAAGGTTACATGTAAATTAGTGAAGTGTGCTGGATACAGCACAGTGTCTGGTGCCTGGTGAGTGTTTGGTTAATGAAATAACTAAGTGTCCAGTTTGGAGAACCCACCCCTCTAACCCCCAAAAGGGGCGTCTAAATCTCTTTATAGCCCTTTAAGCTCACGATGGACAGAGCTTGAGTCCTAGTCTCTTAAACACCCACTGTGATGGGGCATGCAAGTTTATTCCCATGCACATAGGAGATAAGATGCGTCAGCTCTCAGAGCTTAGAGGGACTTGACTTACTAAAAAGAGAAAATAACAGGCCCGACATCATCAACTCCATCTCTCTTTCTCTCAGTTCTTCTCTTTTTTTAATATATTATTCAAGAAAGGTCAGTTTCAAGAGCAAATGAACGTCTCTGAATTCGTCTAGTCTCATCTTAGTTAAACGAATGGACTGTTACTCTTCGAAATTTCCCGTGTTGAGCATAGGTGCGCTCCCACAATGTAACTGCCTGCTGCAGAGAACGTAACGTCTCAGAGGGCCTGCTTGTTGGTGGCTGGGAGAAGGAGGTGGCCCCGTGGCACTACTAGGGCAATCAATGCGTGGGAGATATGTGTCCTCATTACCACTTGAAGTACAGCAAAATCCTCTTAAGCTACTGTAAAGGTTTTCACTAAAAGTACAAAACCATTTTGACAACAAGTATTTATTGAATGAATGATCAGGGGGAAACAAACCCTAAAAACTGCTAATAAAAACGTAGTGACCTTGGAATTAGATCCAGATATTTCAGCATATTTTATATGGGGGGGGGGGAGAGAAAAGGAAAGAAAAGTTGCTTCTTAAGAGGCTCTTAAGGTATTTGCCTTCTGGAACTCATCTTTACATCTGGAAAGTGGGGTCGTCGACTTTGTGGTTAGGGTCTTCCCTGTGTTAATAGCGAATCTGGAGGAATAGAAAGCTCTAAGACATAGAGACCGAAGAGGAGTGGCAAAATCCCGTGGCCACAAGGATGAAAGAATTGTTTATATTCATCTGAGCCGTTACAAGACTACAGGATACGAAAACAGTGGGAATACGCACTCACGTTCTCATTTCAAGTATGCTCTATACATTTAAAGTACTCTGCCTTTCTGTATGTGTTTGGGGATGGGTGAGAATAAAGATAAAGTTTTAGGGGCAGCCTTGTTTTGTTTTTTATCGTTAAGATCTACACCAGCTCCTGTGAGTTTATTTATATCACTTAATAGCTGTGCTGTTCAGTTTTTCACGAGGAAGGAATGAAGAGAAAGGACGGGAACAGTGTTTCCCCACATACATCTTCATGGAAAGGTTGATCTTTACTTGCCTAATTTAATCCAATTTGTATCATTTCTTCTGCCAAAGTGTAGGTGTTTTCACTGCGTAGGATCCCTGTAGACATGTCGGCATTGACATTGAAAGCGAACTTGGAAGTTACAATCAGTCAAGTTATTTGTTGTCACAAGACCTAGGGGAAGCTCGCTTGTAAGAATTCAGTTGTATTTCTTTTATTAAAAAAAGATATTTGTTTTTACCAAACAATGTTATTTTTACTTGTGATGTGAAAATGAAATGAGTGAACCAGAAATTCCCATTTTCACACACACGTCATTGCTCTCTTGTTCATTGGCAGAACTTTTGGCTGCTTTTCTGTACTTTCCATAGCACCGTCAGGTCAGCTGACAGAAGAGTATTCCTTTTTATTTTCTTTTACTTATTTTTTTTCTCCACAAGAGTGTTTTAATACATTACCCTCTCCTCAGCTTTCAGTTGGCAAAAATGTTTTTGCCTAGAAACGTATGAAAAATGTGCTAGAAAATCTAGGGGTTTGCTTTCTTTGGGTTTTAAATGGCTAAAAACGTAAAAGCTTCGCTTCTGGTTTGAAAAAGGCCATTTGAAACACGAAAGCGGCTTCCTCACAAGGTCGTCGAGAAGCCAGTGTGCAGCTTTTTGGCCCAAGAGATCTCTCCCCTGATTGTCTCTTGCCAGAGGACATCAGACATTCCTCCCGGGCCTGTTTTAGAGTAGACCAGTACTCTGGAAATTACAGACCCTCTTTTTCCTTCCGGGGTAAGACGGTGCTGAGGGAGGTTGGCAAATTCTTGGCACTGTTTAGAGGCAGGCTTTCCTGAGGAGCTGTGATGGAGAGCAGGCCGAGGGAGCACCTTCCTGCTTGAACGCTATGGAACCGAGATCTGTTCCATGTGGTCTGTGGGACAGAGGAGACCCCAAGCACATTCGGAAACGTGTGTCACGTTGTGTCTTTCTGTAGGTTCTATAGGTTCAGGACCCAGAGGTTAGCTACAAGCCTGAACGCTGGCAACATGAGATGGCCCTGTTCAGAAGAGAAATTCTATGTCATTGAGGCACAGACTGATTTCCCTTCTTTTTTTTTTTTTTGGAGGCGGGGGCGGAGGGAGGGGACGACTCTGCCTCTAGAACACAATTAAAAACCAAAACAAGCTGACCTTGAGAACCAGTTGGCACTAATTTTACCCCAGTGGAATTTGGAATCCTGCGAGTTTAAGTTGAGGTAGCTTCGTGGCTGTTACATTAATGAGAATAAACACCGAAGCAACTCTGAGAGGCTTTTTTGAGTATCTGCTGTGTATGGTTCACAAGCCCGGGTGGCATCAGGAAGAAGGGATAGATCGGAGTAGGGTGTAGGGAGATTGAAAGAACCCCCCAAAACACCCCAACAAAAGCCCAAACTCTTTACAAGTATCCCAAGAACACGGAAAGTATGAAAGGGAGGGAAAAAACTTTGCAAGTGTCTCAGGAGTTTATTAAAGGTGACCGGCTGGGGGCTTGAATACCTGATGCGTGTCAGCCTCTTCACGCCTTTCTGGGTAGATGTGATGGTAAAATGTTCTTCCCCAGAAAGAGTGTGTTGCAGAGAGGACTCACTGGTTCCCTGGGGGAGGTTAAGCAGCCGGGAATAATTTGGACTCCATACAGAAGTCTTTTTTAAAGAATTTAAAAATGGCACAGGCAAATAAGTTTTCAGAAATTATTTGGAACTAAAATTTGCGTCACTTAGAGCAGCCATAAAAGTTAATTTTCTTTTTGTTTCTTTTCAAGTGTACATTTGGCCTCGGTTTTCTTCTTCCTATATTAAGAAATGTTTCTGAATGAATGTAAGATCATATTGGAATATCTATAATGTGTTAAGATAGTCCACACGCGCTTTCTCTCGGTGGTAACGATGTGTGATAGATATTTCTTTTCTTTTTGTAACATAGTCTATGCATGGAACATTGAAAAGTATTGAAGGGCCTCCAAACTTGGGTATAAACTTGCCTTTGAGCATTAAGCCCGCAACTCAAAATTCAGCAAATCAAAACAAAGAGGATACCAGATCCATGAACGGGAAAGAGAAATTGGAAAAGAAGTCTCCATCACCTGTGAAAAAATCCGTGGAGCCCAAGAAGGTGGCCAGCCCCGGGTGGACGTGTTGGGAGTGTGACCGCTTGTTCACGCAGAGAGATGTTTACATTTCCCACGTGAGAAAGGAGCACGGGAAGGTAAGAGCGGAGGTCACCCCGTTAGTGCGAGGAATTGCACGGGACTGGCAGACCCCCAGCGCCTGCTCTGCGCTCAGCCCTGCCGGCAATTAACCAACGAGGAGGAAAGGAGAGAAAGAAGGCGATGTTTTGGAAACTGTTAGGGGGTATTTGTTTTGTTTTGTTCTTTAATGTTTATTTTTTGAGAGAGAGAGAGAGAAAGAGAGTGAGCCGGGGAGGGGCAGAGAGAGAAAGGGAGAGAGAAATCCCAAGCAGGCTCTGAGCTTTGAGCACAGAACCCCGGGTGGGGCTGGAACTCACGAACCATGAAATCATGAACTGAGCAGAAACCTAGAGTCAGTTAACCGCAAATGAGCCACCCAGGCGCCCCTGTTAGAGGAGTAATTTGTATGACAGAATGTGCTTGTTTCCAGAGTTTGGGAGTGGGAAGAGGTACCTCGTCCTTCTTAAACTCCCAGGATAGGCTTTATACCTCAAAATCACTGAAAAAGGACTTGCAATATTTGTATTCTTTTTAAAATAGTAAGTACACCTCTCCAACTAACAAGGAATTTTTTTAAATGCCTATTATTAATAAATCTAGCAAGATTATTTTCTAATATTACTCTCAAAGTGGTGGTCTCAAAGTTGGGTTGTTCTAGAAAGAGCCTGCATTGCATTTGGTGTTTGTTTACTTAAATCTTTTACGCCAAAGTAGTCCTCCCTCCATTTTATTTTTTAATGTGCTATTGATTTGTTTAAAAGATCGGATTGTACATCCTTTCTGTCATCGCCCACGTTTCTGGATTTGCGTGATTGCTTTCTTTTGACATTGTTTCATTTGCTTCTCATTATCCCGTGATTCTTAGAAATTTGGTTGGACCCAGGTTGAATTTTTAGATAAGAATAGGAGCTGTATTCTTTTTGTGTCAAATCCCAAGGCACCTCATGGGTGCTTATTTCTCTTAGATACTATGATCCATCGTTGGGTTCAGATACAGTGCACTTCTAAAGAAGCCGTCTTCACTGCTTTAACTTAAGGCAATAAAACCAAATAGTTTTCCTTGGGGTACCTGTGTGAAAAGTACACAGGAATTGGCTGGTAATTAGTATATATGAGATCCGTGAAAAGTTTGTTAAATTAAGTGTTTTGAGAAGACTTTGTAACCTCACTTATACTGTTTGATTTGAGCAGCTCATGTGGTTGACATGTTTTACCCCCCTGCCATCTCCAAATGGTACGAACTTGGTCACCCTGCAAAAAGATGTTTTATTTGGTCCGAATACACTTAATTCAGTGTCTCTTCACATAAAAATTACTTACAGCATATATATGGCTATAGTAGCACATTGCTTCTGTAATCATTTCAACTTTCGGGTCCCCCAGTGGGCTGCAGCATCTTAACAATATTCATTGCAAATACTGAGTAGTTCTTAAGGGGCAGTACTTGGTTCATCTACTGTATAAATACACTCACTGTCTGTAGTTATCTTCCCATGCCCGCTGTGGTGATTCTAGGAAAAATCTTTTTTTCTTGGCACCCAAAGCTGGATTTTACAAATGCTGAAACGGGTGCAGACCTCCATCTAACTAACCCAGAGCTTTCATTTCTTATACATCTGAGATTTTGGTAACCATCTTGGAACATTTCAAAATTCCTTCCTTCCTTCCTTCCTTCCTTCCTTCCTTCCTTCCTTCCTTCCTTCCTTCCTCCCTTCCTTTAATAAACTACCTTTATCTTGCACATCCGACAATTACTGGGTCTATAATAAAAGATGAAGAGGCAGCTCCGAGAAAGATGTGGCGCGATGATGAGATCTAACGCTTACTTGAACTCTTGGCTCTAGGACGGTGGCATAAAACCTGATGCCCTGAGCTGGCTATGTGCACAGAACGTGCTGGGCACGGCGCGTGTCCCTCCCGTTGGAGACAGCTATCCGTCCCGAGGAAGCGTGGGGCTTAGCAGGATTTTAGGATTAGCTTTGAAGAAGCTGAGACCCTGCCTCTTGGAATGCTTCAGATTCGGTTGCAGCAGCTGGAGAGAACTGCGGGGAGGCGGGGAAGGGAAAGGGACGGAGTGCCTTCACAAAGCGCTGGAATGAACGGAGTGCTGTCCGTGTGTCAGAAATCCGTGCACACGTTCCACTGTTCGAACCAGACCAGATCCCTGCACCTCCCGACGGCCTGCCTACAGGCTTCTCGTCTCTGCTCCCGTTCTTCTTCCCTCCGGTCCTAACACTCCCGTCACCTCTCCATTTAAACCGCAAACCTCTGATCTCCTGCCCCCTGTCTTTTCTGTCTCTTCCCTTCTGATGGCCAAGCAGGCTCCTTGCTCGCTGCGCTTTCCCCCTCCTGTTTATTCCTCCTTGGCCACCCTTCGGTTTCAGCTCCACCTCGTCACCAAACCCACCTCCTTAACTACCGAGGCAGTTCGACATTGTTCTGTCTTTTCCTAGATTGGCCCCCACCCCCACCCCTGCAGTATTTCACACCATTGGCAGGGCCCCCTCGAAGCATTTTCTACCCCAAGTGTTGAACACTGCTCTTCCTCCTGGGTTTCTCCCGGTTGCTAGGACACCCATCAGGTTTCTGTCCTGGGAACATTCCGCTCTGTCTCTGGGAGATTTCAGTGAGTCTCAGGGCTTCACCCATCGTATATGTATACGTGCACATAACTTCCAAGTCTCCGTCTCCAGCTGCGGTTTCTTGCCTGCATTCCAGTCCCCCAAATCCAGCCGCTTATCGAATGTTTCAGCTTCTTGGGTCATTCACAGAAACTCTTAGCCTGTCCAGTGCAGAACCCAAGCCCCCCTGCCCCCCCCCCCACCAGCCTTTGCCACCAGAAGCTTGGTGTCTGACCTGACTTGGTGATTCCTTCCTTCTCCGCAGCCCCTTCCCTCATCCCTGCATGTCTTCCCCTTCCAGTCCACCCGTTTATCTTTGTTCAGGTGATGATCTTTGTTCATCGTCGCCTGATGATTCTCCCTGTAGCCAGAGAGAGCTTTCCGATTGTGCAGTGTTGCGTCCCCACCGCCCTCGGTCGTCCGGCGGCTCCCTCGTGTCCTCTGCTCCCTCTTCTAGCTGCGTCCTCCACTGGGCATGGGACACAAGCGTGGCGGTCCCACTGTCTGCCCTTGCGCCTCTGGGGCTTTTTGGGTGGTGGCCTTAACTTGAAGGAGTGCACCCTTCTAGTGCCAAACTTCTCTCAGTCCTTTGGGTCTGGGCCTTAGACGTCACCTCATCTGGAAGGCCTTCCTTGCTCCGTTCTTCCTGCAGGTTTCCATGGCAGCCAGAGCTTCCTGTACCATATCTCTTATCACTCTGTGAAGGCTGCCTCTTACCGCTTTCTCACAGTAGAGGCTTTGTGCTTTCCTCCTTCCATCCAGCAAAGCTTTGGGGCTTCTGTTCCTAGCTCACAGTAAGCTAATCAATATTTCTTGAAAAACAGATCAAGAATGAGTACTGACTTGGAAGACAACTAACCCCTCTAAGACTTAACTTTCTCTTCTTTAAAATGGGAGTCGTGTGTACTTTAGTGACTACAGAGTGTCCTGTTTTGTAGGTAGCTAGAGAGAACCACGTGTGAGGCGATAAGCAGCCTCCAGTCCCTTTGGATTATGGTGAGATATAAATGTGAAAGTATAAGGGATCTGAAAATTGTGTCTGGCCAAACACCTCAGGAGAGCATAATATTTTACTACCATCTGGCGTGAAGTTATTGGAAAGATCTGATTTTACTGGATTTCCCGGTGAAATATCCTCCCACGTTCTGACAGTAGGTGACTGTTCCAAAGCAGTGAACCCTGAAGGGATGCTTGAGTTTAATACTGTAATCCTGCCTTTAAAAATAAATACATGTGTGTCTAGAATCATTTTGAGACTAACATAAACACGCTCCGCCAACCACATTACAGCAACTTGCCTGAGCTTTATTGATGTTAGTACGACAATTATTTTGGAGACAAGATTGTAAGTTAGGGGTAAATCCACGTGGCAGAGATTAAAATTTTATGTCAAGATAATTCACTGCTTCTTCTCTTAAGCTGGCCTTTTTTGATTTCAATAATTGTTTCTTTTTTTTTCTTTCTCTCTTCAAGTCCTATCCAAAAAATTTTTACTAAAAAATATTTTGTACAGAGTTCCACGCCAAAACAAAGATACTCAACAGCTTTGTCTTCGAGATTCAAAAACATGGTTCCAGCTCTGTTATTTATTTAGTAGCTGGTTTTTTATTTCTTTAATGCATATATATAATTTTTTACTAATACTTATCCAGTATCCGCTAAAGCCTTTTTAGTTTGCTTTTTAGTAATTTGTTATGATCTGATATTAAGTCAAATAATTAAAAAACCTTGGGGCAGTTGATCCATAAAAATATAGAGAGGTGTTATCATTTAAAAACAACTTGCCACCTCCTTAGTTTTGTTATTTAAAAAATAGTTAAAGCAGCCACATTTAGAAGCGATTGTTAACAGAAATTCCATACTGAGAAACCAGTTTAAAATTACTCACTTTCTACAGTTGATATTATTGTCTTGTCATGGGCAGGCTTTAGCTGTCCTTTTAAATCATAAGCTCTTTGAGGACAAGTTCTAAATTGATTTATTACCGTAGCATCCATGATTTGTGGTGTTATGCATATTGTCTTTGGGGGCACTGATTAGAGAAGTTCTCAGATCATCGCCTGCCCATTTGGTAAGGGCTTTTGTGTTAGTCGAATGTAGGCTTGGGCTTTAAATCGGCTTTGACCACAGAAATCCCTTCATCTTCCCTGTGTCCGTACTCTCAAATACAAAACCAGGAAAATGAGATGTATTATTAACCTGATGATCTCATCTCAGCGTCGAGCCCTTTCCCAGATGAATGTACAATTATACAGAATTTTATGTACGATTTTGGAGGCTCAGCTACCTCCTGACAGTCCTTCTTGGTCGCTTGAGGGGTTTTCTAGGAACCTTGAATTAGGATCCCCTCAACGAGGTTATAGCCAACATCATTCTCACAGACCGTGCCTTCTGCA